GGGGTTTCACCATGTTGCCTAGGCTGGTCTTGAACTCCTGGGCTCAAGCAATTCACCTACGTCAGCTTCCCAAAGTGGTAGGACTACAGGCATGAGCCACTGCACCCAGCATGAATTTTTCTATAAATATTTTACGGTTAGGTGGGGCGGATTATGCCTGTAAACTCAACACTTTGAGAGGCCTAGGTGGGTGGATCACTTGAGGTTGGGAGTTCGAGACCAGCCTGACCAACATGGTGAAACCCCATCTCTACTAAAAATAAAAAATTAGCTGGGCATGGTGGTGCAAGCCTGTAAGCCCAGCTACTCAGGAGGCTGAGGCACGAGAATCGCTTGAACCCAGGAGGCGGAGGCTGCAGTGACACTGCACTCTAGCCTGGGTACAGAGAAAGACTCTATCTCAAAATATTACACACACACACACACACACACACACACACACACACACACAAACTGGCCAGCCACAGTGGCTCACGCCTGTAATCCCAGCACTTTGGGAGGCCGAGGCAGGCGGATCACCTGAAGTCAGGAGTTCAGGACCAGCCTGACCAACATGGAAAAACACCGTCTCTACTAAAAATACAAAATTAGTTGAGCATGTTGGTGCATGCCTATAATCCTAGCTACTTGGGAGGCTGAAGCAAGAGAATCATTTGAACCTAGGAGGCAGAGGTTATGGTTAGCCAAAATAGTGCCATTGCACTCCAGCCTGGGCAACAAGAGCGAAACTCCATCTCAAAATAAAAAAAGAATTTTTTTACTTGTACCCTTTCTTCATAAACAGAAAAAAAATTACTATTAAAAAATAGTTTTGTTTGTTTGTTTGTTTTTGTTTTTGTTTTTGTTTTTGTTTTGAGACGGAGTTTCACTCATGTTACCCAGGCTGGAGTGCCATGGCGCGATCTCGGCTCACCGCAACCTCCACCTCCTGGGTTCCGGCAATTCTCCTGCCTCAGCCTCCTGAGTAGCTGGGATTACAGGCACGCACCACCATGCCCAGCTAATTTTTTGTATTTTTAGTAGAGACGGGGTTTCGCCATGTTGACCAGGATGGTCTCGATCTCTTGACCTCGTGATCCACCCACCTCGGCCTCCCAAAGTGCTGGGATTACAGGCTTGAGCCACCGCGCCCGGCCTAAAAAATAGTTTTTGTAGACCACTAACAGCCAGGAAGAGTACATAAAAAAGATTAAGACCTAAAATCATGTCTTTGACTTTGAACTTCAAAGTAACCACTAGCAAGCAAAGCTGAATCTTCTGATGGTATAAAAATGTACTACTACCCAAGCAATTTTTCAGATACATTCAGTAGGTGATAAACGCATGTGAGCCCCCGTCACAAGAAGAATCATTTCAGAGAAGACCAGAATTCCACTTTCACCCTGAAGAATTCAAGACAGGCACCCTCTCAAAGTATAAATTTTCTTATTTGCTACTATATTGTCAATACATTCATATCAAGCTATAAAATGTTAACAGTGAAACCTAGCTAGAATTTGAATTAATTTTCAAACTATAAAATCTTCCAGAGAACAGTATACTTCTAAACTAAAACTAAGTAGACAAACCAAAAATCTTGCTTAAACTTGCAAAATAAAATACTATCTCAGCATGGGGTGGTGGCTCAGGCTTGTGATTCCAGCCCTTTGGTAGGTCGAGGCTAGAGGGTTGCTTGATCCCAGGAAATCAAGAACAGCCTGGGCAACATGGCTAGATTCCATCCCTATAAAAAATTTAAACAGGCTGGGCACAATGGCTCACATCTGTAATCCCAGCACTCTGGAAGGCCAAGGCAGGTGGATCACCTGAGGTCAGGAGATCGAGACCAGCCTGGCCAACATGGTGAAACCCTGCCTCCTCTAAAAATACAAAAATCAGCTGGGTATGGTGGCATGTGCCTGTAATCCCAGCTACTTGGGAGGCTAAGGCAGCAGAATCAGCTTGAACTTGGAAGGCAGGGGTTGCAGTGAGCCAAGATCACACCACTGCACTCAAGGCTGGGCAACAAAGTGAGACATTGTCTCCAAAAAACAAAGATTTAAACAGCCAGGGTTGGTGGCACACACCTGTGCTCCTAGCTACTTGAGAGGTTGAGATGGGCAGACCCTGACCCCTGCCAGGCTAAGGTTACAGTAAGCCATGATCGCGCCACCGCACTCTGGCATGGGCCAAAAAAAACCGACAAAAACAAAAACTACTATCTCAATTACAACTATCTTCATCCCAAGATAGCTACTCACTCTCTTTTCTTTGAGAATATCGACTAGAAGAGTTAACAAAAGTCACCTTTTATCACACAAAACTTCACATCAAACTTCACCATTTAGTGACCACTAACATATAGCCTTGGTGAATGTGCATTAAAAAACTGAACCACCACCAAATTCAAATGGGAGACACCAATGTGCCTTATAAGCCAAAAAATAAAAGCCTTACAAATCATCTAACAATTTACTTCAGCCTAACCAAACATAAGTTTCAAAAAATGATTTAAAAAAGCAGTGAAACAGTGTAGTAGGTAGGGACAGGACTTGGCCCACCCCCACTAACATGTTTTTCCATATGTGTCCACTAACCACCAGATGTTCTGGCACCCCCCTGGTAGCCTATACCCACTGACCAGACCTTGCAAGCTGTCTAAAACAACTAACACAAGCAGCATTCCACCATAAATCCTACTTAGGAGAGTTAACTCTATTGCCCATATGTGCATGAGGCCAGGAGAATGACCAGTCCTAACCCTGAGCCTCATTTTAATACTAAAACCTTTGCCCACAGGGGCTTATCTGCCCCTATGTGTTAGCATGATTCCTCACTGCATCTGCACACGCTGAGCTCTACCCCACACATGTAATAATGCTCACCTACCTCATGAGTTTTGCATGTTACCCTCCTTAAGACACGGCAAGGCATCCCCTGGGGAGCCGACCAGAGGACCCTTCTTTTTGTACTGTCTCACTTATGCCCAATGTTTCAGACATAGGTCTTTTTTTTTTTTTTTTTTTTTTTTTTT